TTTAGTTTTGATTATGGAGAAAAGTTGTCCATTTGTTGGCGTTGGTGGAATTTCTTGTGGTGAAAGTCGTGGATTACAGGAAATTAGTTGCTTATTTGATTGTAAGGAAGATATGAGTGTTCAACTATCAAACTGTCATCTTTCTAAATCGAACTTGAGAGAGAACGAGTTAATTGCTATTCGCGCGGGAATGTTCAATCTTACCGAAGACCAGTTTAAGATGATGTTTATTTGTCCGTCCCACCGTCATAATTTGGGACGATTTTGGAGGCCGCTAAGACCGTGCCAGTATTCCCTCCATTCGGGTCCTGTTCGTAAGTGTACAGGAAGAGATGTTTTCAATGTGTCATTATCAAAAACAGTTTTTACTCTTTATGGGAAATTAATTCAAATATAGGATCTCGTAAGTATTACGCTACTTTTACTTCTTCAAGTGTTGTAATTAGTACTTTAATGACGCAGGTGAAACTGCATGGAGATAACTATCGTAAGTTTACGTGTTCTTCATGAAGGAGAATGCGTAAGTTTACGTGTTCTTCATTTTGAGGCGAAAGCACAAAGAAAAATGCTTGTGGACAACTTGTGGAAAATGCTTGCTGAGATCGACGTATGCCATCCTATATACCACGACGCGTATGATTTATGTGACATGTACAAACAGAAGAGCCTATCTGTTTTTAAAATAACGATGCTGAAAGAAATTTGTGTGCATTTTGAACTTCAGTTCAAATCAAAGGATAAAATACAGACTCTCATAGATAAAATATCATCCATGATTGGGCAATGCACATGTTTCCAAATAAATAACTAAATTGTGCAGGTGCGGACAAATACTCCCAGACTAACTTGGACATGTCGAGAGATGTCATTGTTCTTGGTCCGCGAGCGTATGGAGCCTGGAACAGTATCGTTAACCCAAATCAAGTACCAAAAACGCTGCATGCAAACTACGATGTTATGTATTTTTTATTGCTATAATTTATACTACTAAGTACTATTATGAGACAAATCAAATTTTGCCGAAAAATACCAATTGAAGTTGAAAGTTATTCACAGAATGGCGATTAGCTGCAAACTACTGTAAAATTATTATTATTGCTGTATAGATTAAAGTAAAGATAAAGGACAGATCTCAGTATACGTCGCAGCCGTAGTCAATGTCAATGCCACTAAGATCGTTTTATACGATGAATTGAATCGTTTGCATGAAAGGACAAAAATTCTGCCAAATGGGCGATGCGGAAAACTTTTAACAGAATATAATAACAAGTTCATGGATTTATTAATTCGATGCGACGTTACGGCAACACACATTTTCGACATTGGCATTGTACACCTCAGGGCCGTAGCAACCGGGGGGGCTTGGGGCTGCAGCCCCCCCCCCCAATAATTTCCTAATAATCATTCTTTTTTCAAAATCATGCAGACCTTTATCATTTAATCCATGACTGCAAAGAATGAAGATATTACCCATATTTTCCTGCATCTTATCCAATATATAGTTAATTAAATACGCATTCGGCCATTTAGTACTACTAAATTGTAAATTTCGACATACTAAAACGCTGTTTTCTGACAATCAGAATTCTGTCAAATCTTCCCCAAAGTCCAGGAAATGGTATTTCAGAGATTCTAAATTTAAAAATTTCCTCGGGCCTTCGACCCTCGCTTTCAGCCCCCCCCCCCAATCGAAAAGAGCTTCCTACGGCCCTGTACCTGTCCGCTCATGAGGGATACAACGTCCTAGACGAATTTATTTCTTCTGACCGTTTTGGACCTCAAAGATCCATCACATTTCATCGATCGAATTAAACTTTTCTGAGTTAAATACAATGATTGTGCAATATATTAGTCGCTATAAAAACTCCGCGAGCAACCTTGAACGTGTTTCCGGTTATCACAAAGGTAAACAATAGAGCTATTTATAGCCATAATTTATGAATTTTGCACTCCTTCATATTCCTTTTGCCGACAAGTTTTATTGCGAATAACATATCTTTAAGTATTCTACTTTAACCCTAAAAGTGTTTTAGACACCAGGTAGGTTGCACTTTTGAGAATTTTTAGTTTGAATTTTATACCTAATCATTAGTTTTTCGGCGAACGAAAATACCGACTTCCTTGGATGGAGACTAGTAGGCTTAAAATAAGATGTACATTCAAATTCTCTCAACATTCTAAAAGAAGAAGAATATGTCTCAATACACTGAAAAAAGTTTTTAATTTGACGCGAAACTTCCCGAGTTATGATGCACAATTTAACACACATTTGACCGCCGTTTTCGGGGTCAAATTTCAGTGTCGCTGACGTCCAGACAAAAATTCGTCATAACTTAAAAAAAAGAAAAATTTAGAAATTCTAATATTAGTTTAATACCTTTTAGGACAAAGGTAGTTCATGGTAAAAATATAAAGGAAATCTAATTTTCAACCTGAAACTCTCTGCATGGTTCTTAGTGAGACAGCCACTTAAGGTTCACTACTTACAAAGGCAGTAAAACAAGACAAGAAAACCACCAGATCAAATCACTCTATTACTACAGTTCGATTTTCATGTGTGCATTGTTTATAAGAACTTTTCAGTCGGCTTTCTATAGTTATATTTCATTCAAAATAGTTTTCTATTATTCTGACACTACAGGGTACAAGGAGGGAATGTTGCCTTCTAATAACTTACAGTCAAAATAGAAGAAACTTCTGTAGTCTCATATTGTTGTAAATTTCTGTAAATTGTTCTGTTTTTCTGTAACGGTCACCGAATTATCAAATACAGCGACGAAATTTAGTTTTCTTTGTTTTTATATGATAATTTGTTGAAGGATGCATTTTTCGTTAGATTCGCTGCATTTCAGCACATAGTAAGAGCTGCAAAATTTGAATTATATCACGGTATTTATCTATAAATCTGTAACCGCTACAGTAATACAGAACACATTACAGTAAATGTCAACAGAGTACAGTGGGAAGGTTCTTGTATTTTGACTGCAATTAGCCTTTCTCGCGAAGGTCTAAATTCGCCATTTTGCGTACTATTTTATAAATGTCAAAAATCTAAGCGATGTTAAAATAATTTTTCAAATATTTACAGTCGTGTCAATAGAAGCGTTCCGAAAAATGTTGACCAATTCATTTCCTAACTTCGAGGAATTCCTCTGAACAATTCCTCAACAATTTGATAAGTTCCTTAAAAAGTTCTTAGCTTCCTGTTTCATTGACCAATCAGATTTTATTTTTGAACAATCTGATTGGTCAATGAAACAGGAAGTTAGGAACTTTTTAAGGGGCTTATCAAATTGTTGAGGAATTGTTCAAGGAACTCCTCGAAGTTAGAAAATGAATTGATCAACATTTTTCGGAACGTTTCTATTGTCACGACTGTAACTGTAAATCGATTTATAATGATTATACTTACAACTATAGTTATAGAAATTGCCACCCAAAAATGGCCGCGTAAGAAAGGCTAATTCGACCTTATCCTTTGCAGGGTTAAAGGAAGATTTTTTCACTCAAAAATTTCTTCCATATTCCTCGACGACCATTGGCATGTTCCACTATTTTCCGAGCAGAAATCAACCAAACGAGATTTGCTGTGGAGAACATACAGACTATGGTATGCTGACCATTCTCATGCAAGATGACGTCGGAGGGTTGGAGGTACGAAGTGACGATGGTAAATGGATCCCAGCTCCGCCTATCCCAGGAACGTTTGTCATCAATCTTGGAGATATGCTCGAAGTGTGGACGAATGGTTCATATAAAGCCACAACGCATCAAGTCAGGAAGTCAAAAAGTGGAAGAGATCGTATTTCTGTTGCTTATTTCTTTAACCCGCGGTTAGAATGCGTCGTCAGCCCTCTTGAGATGAAGAATCCACTAATTCCATTCAAAGAAAGGGAACTGAATGGTAATATTGAATTACCAGTAGTCTTTGGAGAATTTTTAGAAGAAAAGTACCGAGGCACTTTTCCTGACCATGATTATTGAACTTCATATAATTAAAAATTTCTTTGTTTACGTAAACGTGAGTGTAAGATAAGAATAGAATGAGGTATAGTTAAGATAATGATAGGACTTCGGGCTTTTTTCAGGGATTTTTGTAGGCCGTTAAACGGCTTCAAAAAGTCAATCTTGAATTGAGATAAACAAATACTCATGGAATCTATATATAACAAAAAAATTGATATCACGAGCTGTTTTGCGAAATTGAGAGCAATTTCAAATCTGTTCAGTTTTTTTTATACACCGTGTATATTTTGTTGCCGAAACAAGGAATGGATAAATCCAGAAGTATAACTCTGTAAACACATTATGTTATCTTTGTCATTTATATATTATCAGTGATCTCAGTAGCCAGTTGTAAATTCCCGTATATGAGCGAGATTTGCAATTGTAATATATAAGATAAATAACCATTTAATAAAGTTTCCATTAGTATTATTATAAGTAATATCATGAAATGAGGAGTATTATAGTCATTAAACCACCCGCTCGACGAGGGTCATTTATTAAAATTCCCGAGGGCCGTAATAAATGACCCGAGTCGAGCGGGTGGTTTAATGACTATTATTATATATCAATAGTCAAAGTCGCATTTTTCTAGTGTTTTATTGGTTGAGAGCATATCACGTGAGAGTGACGAAATTAGGCTGTCTCCCTCGCAACAGCGCGAGAGGGAGATAATACGTTATC